TGAATGAGATTTTTGGATCTCATCTTAGAGAGTTTATACTAGTGTTTTTTGATGATATTTTGGTCTACAACAAGAGTATAGAAACCCATATCATTCATCTTCATACCACACTGTCTATCTTGAGGCAACATCAATTATATGCTAAATCCTCTAAATGCAGTTTTGGCCAACCTCAGATTGACTATTTAGGTCATATCATTTCTGCCAAGGGGGTGGGAGTTGATCCAGCTAAGATTCAAGGGGTTTTCGATTGGCCCATTCCCTCTAATGTCAAAGCCTTGAGGGGTTTTCTTGGTTTGACTGGCTATTACAGAAAATTTGTCAAGCAATATGGCATTATAGCCAAGCCTCTGACTGAGCTGCTCAAGAAGGGTAACTTCAAGTGGAGTGCTACTGCCACCATAGGTTTTGAACAATTGAAAGTGGATATGGCTAGCACTCCTGTACTACATCTTCCTGATTTTACTAAACCTTTCATACTAGAAACTGATGCTTGTGATGTGGGAATTGGGGCAGTTTTGATGCAAGAGGGTCATCCTTTAGCTTATCTGAGCAAAGCTCTTGGCCCTTGAAGTATGGGTTTGTCAGCATATAAGAAGGAGTTCTTGGCCATATTTTTGGCTGTTCAAAAGTGGAGGGACTATTTGCTGCATCAAACCTTCACTATCAGAACTGATCAAAGAAGTCTCAAGTATTTGTTGGAGCAGAAGATTACTACTCCTATTCAACAGAAATACTTACTAAATTATTGGGGTATAGCTACTGGATTGAGTTCAAAAGGGACGGTGAAAACAAGGCTGCTGATGCCTTGTCTAGAAGAGATGTTGAACCTACTCTTCAAGGGACCATTAATGCAACTACTGTGTTACAACCTATGTGGTTGGAACATGTTCAACTAAGCTATACTAATGATCCCACAACTCAAGATATTATAGCTACTTTGACTGTTAGACCTTGGGATGTTTCTGAGTATCACCTTATAGATAGTCTACTGAAATTCAGAGGCAAAATTTTTGTGGGGCTTTCCAATGATTTGAGACAGCAAATCATTCAGTTTATGCATGAATCTTCTTTGGGTGGTCATTTTGGGGTCCATAATACTTTCAAGAGGGTGCAAGAAGTATTTTTATGGCCACACTTGAAGACACAAGTTACACAATTAGTGAGGAATTGTGGGGTATGTCAGATCAACAAACATGAGAATAATAGATTGTTTGGGCTGCTACAACCTCTACCTATACCCGAACAGGCCTGGGCCTATATCACTATGGACTTCATTGAGAAATTACCCATGTCTATAGGGAATGATACAATTTGGGTTATAGTGGATAGATTTACCAAGTACAGTCACTTTATCATCCTCAGTCATCCCTAAATGCATCATCACTAGCTCAGATCTTCATGGATTCGATTTAAAAACTGCATGGCTTACCAACATATGTGGTATCTGATAGGGATAAGATATCCACTAGTGTGTTTTGGAAAGAGCTATTTAGCTCCTTGGGAGTACAACAACAACTGAGCACTGCTTACCACCCTCAAACAGATGGCCAAAGTGAGAGGGTGAATCAATGCCTTGAGAGCTACTTGAGATGTATGTGTGGTAAGTTCCCTAGACAATGGCAAACATGGTTAGCTCTAGCTGAATGGTGGTACAATACGAGCTATCATTTTGCCATTAAAATGTCCCCTTTTAAAGCTTTATATGGTTATCAGCCCCCTCAAGTTGGATATGGACCATGGTTGGAGATAAAAATTGCAGGAGTAGAATAGTGGTTGATAGATCACACCAAGATGATTTAGCACTTGAAGAGTTTATTGCAAGAGGCCAGGGATAGGATGAAAATGCAGGCATATAAGCACATAAGTGAAAGAGGGAGATTGGGTGTTTCTGAAACTCAAACTGTATAAACAATTGAGTCTTAAGAAGAACCCTATTTGGAAGTTGATGCCAAAGTTTTGTGGACCCTTTGAGATACTCAAAAGGATTGGGGAAGTGGCATACGAGTTAAAGTTGCCGGAAACGGCCAACGTACACCCAGTCTTCCATGTGTCATTATTGAAGAGGAAAGTGGGAAATCAAGATAGGGTGGTGAGTGAACTACCACCTATGATGGAGTCCGGAGAACTCTTGTTGACTCCGGTGAAATTATTAGCTCGAATAATGGTCAAGAGAAATAACGCGGCAGTTGGGCAGATGTTGATTCAGTGGGCCCATCTTCCGGAGGAAGAAGCAACGTGGGAAGAAAGCGAGGAGATTCTGCGCAGGTTTCCCTCGTTTCAGCCATGAGGTCATGTCTTTAAAGGGGGAAGGTTTGTAACGGTTATGACCGTTAGTCAAAAACGGTGTCGTTTTGGTGAAAATAAATTAGAGGAACAAACGCGTTTTCACTTACAAAGGCGCATTTCTTTATCACGAGGAAAGAGGAAGAGAAGCTGAATTATGAGCACCACTCGCGAGGTGACACGTGGACTGGTTGTTAGCTGCTAAATCAAGCTGTTAGTTAGCCTAAATCATCTATAAATAGGAGTTAGTTAGGCAATTGTAAGGCATCGAAGATCAGAGAGGGTTTTTCCCTTAAGCAATAACACATTCAGTTTTCAATTTGTTTCTTTCATTTCTCTGTTCTTAACAGAGCCTTACATGCTAGACCGTGTCTTACGGCAGTTTGGATTAACACAAGCTATTCCAAGGAGACTGATTAGATCTCGGGAGCCATACCGTCGGGGCCCTAAAGGAGGTTTGACCTACGAGGTAAACTACCATCCTTTAGGGGGCATGTGGGACTTACCTGCGACTCACTCCCTGTCAGTACATGATCTGACACAAGCTTGGCCGCCTTCAGAGAGTCACCCGAGGTACATGGCTAGGTACGTTCCTCGCACACATCATTAACCAACGAGCACGTCCTGCCGAATCAATGCCTATGGTTCGCCCCCAGTTCAACCGAACTTCTATGATGTTGTCTGTATTAAGCCTTGCACGAGATACCTCAACCTATCCGACAGGGCATACAACCCCGTTTGGAGCCGCATGCCCGTTAACTCTGTAAAGCTTCACTCCCAGTTGATGATGCATCATCAGATGAAGATGAATTTTAGGATCCTCCACCAGCACGTCGGAGATATGGAGAGACAAGTGGTCTCGAGGAGCCGTCAATGAGGGCTAGGGGAAGACATGATTTCTTTTTCTAGAAACTTTTTATGTACTCGTATTATTATGTAGTACATATTTGTTATTTTGTAGTACATTATGTGTTTTATTTTGGATGACATTATGAAATTTGTATTTTTTTATGTAGTAGTTTTTTTTTTTTTTTTACAAAATATTGCATACATTACAATTGTCAACCAAATACATAAAATGAGGGGGCGGGGGATGAGGAGAAGGTAATCGTGGGGATCGAGGAGTGCAATATAGTAGGACTTATGTGTAATGAAAAAATTAAGATTGAACCATTTCTTATTATTAAAACTGAACTGCTAATTGCAGCGAGATTTTTACTGAAATTGGCTTATTTGCAGCGGTAGTCTCATTTGTCAATTTTCTAACTTTCTAAAAAATCGAAACTCTCTCAACTAAAAAAAGTCGAAAACTTATAATCTAAGGATTGTTCGACAAATTCGAAAACAAACACAACATTTTTTTATGGCCAATCCATATTACTTTTACAAGGAAAAATAAAAGAACAAAAAAATTAATAAATGAAGCTAGATCGTGCTGTGCAGCACGTAGGGCATGAAAAAAAGGAAAAAAATTTGAAATTCCCGTCCTTTAGGGGATGGGAATATGGGTTTTACTTTTTTTTTCATTTTTTTTTTGGTTTACTTTATTCCTTTAGTATTATTTGGTAGGATGATGCTGGTGATTTTGACAAGAAAATAGACGATAAATATACAAACGAGTACAATAAACCGAATATGTGTTATAATGTTCATCAAATAATTACAAAATTCGATATATAAAAAAAATTAAAAAAACTAAAAAAAATAATTAAAACATGAAGTCCCGTTCTGCAGAACACGGGAACTTGAATAATCTTCAAGTTCGCGTCCGTGTTCTGCAGAACGGGAACTTCATGTTTTTTGAGTCCTCCGTTCTGCAGAGCACAAGAACTTGAAGATTATTCAAGTTCCCGTGTTCTTCAGCACGGGGGATTCATATTTTAATTATTTTTTTCGAAAATTAAAAATTAAAAAGTTTTTTGAGTTTTCCGTTCCACAGAGCACGAAAACTTGAATTCTCCGTTCTACTGAGCACGGATATTGAAAATTTACCGGAATCGATCCTCGTTTGCTACGGATTCAAAGTCGAAAAATTTCCGAAATCCGAATGTCGAGTTTGGGAATAGGAGAGAGAATTTCAAAAAAAAAATTAAATGAAAAAGGTTCCATTGCAAATTAGTCAATTTCAGTAAAAGACCTGCTGCAAATAGCAACACCCCTTATTAAAATGTTTAGGGGACTACATCGAAGAGCCTCATTTTTTTAATCGTATAGCTCTTCGTATAATGTTTGTCTAGTCTAGTACATGTGAACTATTGCACATAAATAAAGTTTATTTGATGAATCGTGTCGGTCGGTTTATTGTATGCTACACCCTATGAAGACTAGATTTTTTATCGTTGATCTAAACACACAAATGTGGATGCGTGTTTACATGAACGGTAGAAATCTACCCACTATATATGTATATGAATGCTTCGAAAAAAAGGTAGTCGTGTCATAAATAAATGATTGTGACCTTATAGTTTCCTAGATCGCAAAGTTGGTGACTCGGATTTGGATGTCCTCTTACCACATATCTTATCACATATCCTCTTTCCTTCTACAATCGGAAACTCATAGGAAGCCAAACTATTTTGAATATGTCCAATCTTCCCTAACAGCCACATATTATATAATTCAATTTTTTCTTTTCTAAAGTTTACAAAAATAATTGTATTTATATATATATCCTCCTCCTCAACACCTACTTTTGTATTACATACTTTCAAACACTCTCTCTCTCTCTCTCTCTAGATCTCTCTCCTATTTCTCTCTCTCTCTCTCACTTGTTCAATACTTCAATTCATTCAAGAGAAACAAAAATTTTCAAGAGATCGATGGGGTTCAATGATTCAAAGCAAGTTATAAACTGGGCATCCATCACGAAACAAGAATATGCTGACGTGGAATCAACATCCTCCAATAACAGTGATTCAATGACGTCATCATCGTTTTCTTCCTCTCTATCATCGTCGTCATCATCAGAGTTAGCAGATGATGCATCATCGTCACCTTCTTCAACTTCATCTAATAATGCACCACTTTGTAGCGGTCCTCTTTATCAATTAACCGAACTCATGGCCCAACTACCCATTAAGTAAGTTTTTTAATTCATGTATGTGTTGTATCGTGTATGTGTGTGTTTTTGATTAATTAATTAATTACTGTGTGGTTTAATTAATAATTAATGAATAAAATCCAACCTCGATAAATTAATAATCAATAAATTAATAATCTCGTCTACATAATACTCCTTCAGTTCCTAAAAATGAGTCGTTTTCACATTTGCACTATTAAGAAACTCAATAAATATGTCTTGATTTTAGGAAAATAAATATTGTTAGACCAAAATACCCTTATTTATTAATTAATGCTGAGACAGTACTGTTGAATAGTTAATAAGCGCATATTTGAAAAATATGTAATTAATGAAGTGTAGGAATTCTAAAGTGATAGATAATTAGAGCATTATTTTTTTTCTTAAAAGTGACAGATCTTGTGGAGTGGAGGGAGTAATCTCTTAGTTCGCTAATTAAATAGTTCGCTAAATTTATAGAATTTTGCTAGTCATGAATGTATTAATTTATAGAGGTTTAAGTATATTGTGCAGAAGGGGTTTATCAAAGTTCTATAACGGGAAATCACAAACTTTTGCATCGTTGGGAGATGTGAAGAATTTGGAAGATCTTGCAAAGAAGGATATGAGTTACTGCACAAGAATGAAGCCATGCAAGAGCTACGGTGGCACTACTTTGATGAATCATTATTACGCCAAGTTTGGTCCGAAGGCTACCATTACAAAGAGGTCTTCCAAAAGACCAATTTCACCTTCTTTTGCTACTAGTCATGTTACCATGCTTCTCAATGCATAGAAACTTTCTTACTCTTTTATTTTAGAGGGTTTTCTTTGTAATTACAGAGACTAGAAAACCCTTTTGAAATTTGTACTTTTTCTGTTTATGGGATATATGTTAATTAAAGTAAATATTGAAGCACTTTCCTGGTTTCTTATTAATTACAAGAGGAAACATGATTGAAAGTAGAAATGAAGGCATCATATGTACCTAGTTGGATGGATAAACATTATTTGCAACCACTTAGAAGAGGTGTTGGCTTTCTCTATATTTTCATTCACTAGTTAGGTGCATGTGCGTTGCACGAGTCATGCTAAATGTTCCGATCCATTATTTAATTTTTATTTAGATAAACTTTGCACAAATTTATCCATATAATATTCTATTTTGTGATACCGTTCACCCAACATTTAAAAAATTGGCCTCTCAGATACCAAAGCAATGTTTCTCTTTCTAAGACTTTAAATTTGTCATACCTCCTTCTTGGTCATTAATAAATCCCAATGTAACCGACAATTTTTTTATTTTTTTTTTTGCGGAATAACTGAAGGACTTAATTGAATTCTCATGGCTAATCGTCCCCTTCAAGAAATTGAGTTTTCAATAATTACATATTATGTACACAAAAAATGTGTGACTATGCATAAATGCACTCAATCATACACTGATCCGATCTATTAGTCCACCTTCAACAATATTATTCTCACCAAAAAATACATGCAATATATCAGAAATTGGAGCTTGGTTCAAGTGAGTGTCACAAATTCAGGAAAACTGTGCTTTCTCAATTTCGGCCATTTTTGGTTCGTCAGTTGTCTGAATGCTTAGCTTAAAATTTTAAAATTACTAATTAGATTCATCTTAAGGTATATGAATATTTTGAAATTTTATTGTTGTAGTGGCAGAATTATTAAATTCTTATGATACAATGAAATCTCACTCTATTTAGTAATAAATACATTGTAAATTTTGTAGTTTCTGATCACTATTTCGGTCAATACTCTTCTTCATCATTTTTCAAGTTTTCTTCTTCATTTGTTAAGATATTTCCTTATCCTTATTTGATCTTTGAATAAATAAATCTCGCGAGATGCGGGTAATTTGTTCATAGTTCAACATGAACTAATTTACGTAATTTCTCAATCTATCACAGAGAAAACAAAAGTATAAAGTATACCGAACCCCTAAATGCATGGTCATATTAGATGCAAGCAATATGGGTAGCAACAAGTAAAAACAACCACGAGAAGTGGCATAAGATTAACGTTATACAAAATAATGCACCATGTTCTTGAGAAGTGGCGTAAGAATAATGTATTGAAATGCGTGTACATATATAGAGTATAAAGCTTTTGTATTTTTCTTACCGTTGTATGCATCTATGTAAAGAAGTCAATACTTCAATGATCGTGACCCATTTTGTATAAGGGAATCCATTTTTTTCAGAGTTTTCTTTAGAATGCACAAGAAGGGTAATTATTTACTCATTAATAGTTGAGTGATCGAGTCCCATTTTGTATGAGGGAATGTGTTTTTCAGAGTATTAATTTATGCAATGAGGTAATTAGAATTTTGAACCATTCAGTTAGCTGTGTTTGCCACTTTACACCTTAAAATTACAAAATTATCACTTTACTCTTGACTTTTGCTTGGTAAAATTTTGTTTCTATAAAAAATGTTTTACACGAAATTACGTGGGTAGAATAGTCTATTTTGGTCGACAAAAACCCTCCACTCCATCATCTCAGTTTCCATTATCCCCATTTAAGTTGCTAAAAAAAGAAAAAAAATATTTGACGCAGCTAAAATTCATATTGAGATATTGAGAACTTAGCGTTTGTTTCTATTTTTGATTGATATCCTACGATTTCTCTTTTGTTTTTCCTGCATTGAATTGGCTTAAACTTAATACTTTTGTTTTTGCAACATAATCTCATAAGTAATACACAACTAATAGAATACTTTATAATTTTGATGTATTCTTATGTTAAAGTAAAATCAACGACAATCAACTAATGATTTGACAAAAGAAGTGTTTTAATAGTGAAAAATAAATGTTCTAGTGTTCATTGGAAAGACATTCAAACCCTATATTTTACACCAAAATGAGAAGTGGTTTAGATTCTTGACAACAAGAAATACGTGTGTGTTTGTAGTGAAAGACATAATGAGAAATAGATCATTATATCCTTTGAATTAACGTGAAATCATTTTTCATATGAAAATTTGAAGTATAAATTGTCAGAGGGTGCATCTTGCCAAGTCAAAGTCAAATTAACGGTGCAAAGCGTTGTTTTTACAATTTTGGAGTGTAAAGTGCCAAATATATCTAATTGAGGGGTACAAAATGCTAATTACCCTTTAGAATGCAACGGTTGTTGGGTCTATCTAAAAAATAAATATGGTCCATTTGGATGGAAGGATTTGATTTGGGGACTAAATTTGGAGAAATGATTTGAAATGACTGCAATTTGGAGTCATTTGAGATCCACACGAATTTCTCATTTTATAACTAAAAAGGAGGGGTAGGGATTTAAAATCTCTAATAAAATCCTTCAATCCAAACAAGTTCGATGGATTTGTAATTATGAATTTGAAGTCCATTATGCAAATCCTTAATTCCAAATGCACCCTTAATTCAATTGTGAGTTTATTTGTATTAGTTACAATTTATGAGGCTGTTGAGTTTCCTATCTCAAAAAAATAGTTCAATTGTGAGTTTAATTGTATTAAAAGAGAGTGCACAGTCAAGTTTTGAAGGGAACTCACATAAAAATTTGTATTTGCTTAGTACTCAACAAAGTGTGAATTGTAAAAAAAATTGTTGTTATGTTATGTTGGATTCCTAAAATATTCATTTTTTATTTGTTTTCATATTATGAGTGAAAATTACCCTACAATGCATTCCTTTTAATTAACACATAATCTCTAAATGATATATTTTTAAAAGTAGTTTGCTAAAAAAAATTGAATGTTGTGGGGGGTTTTTGCTTATAAATATACTAGGGGAAGTTTTTTGACGATTAGAATAAAATATATGAATGTTGAATGTAATAAATCCATATAAAATGGATGTTAATACGTAGAACATTCAAAATGGTGCTAGAGAAAATCAATGTTCTTTGGATTATCCATCCAAATATCAAAGCAGTGAATATTTGATCGGCTTCAACAACTGTCTCTAATTTTATATATAATCTAAGTTACTTCAAACTTAGAATCAGTTATTTTTCTACCACAATTAGTATTAAGGCGAATGACAAATAGACCCATGACAAGGGACTTAAATGCACATTGGTCCAAAAAAAAAATGTCTTTCAAATGAACCCATCCCATGTCTTTAGTCTAAAATACTCTCTATAATATAATTTTTATCAATTCCATCCATTATACTCTCTAACTTCCTTAATATTACACATTGACCCCGATTTTAATAATTTTTTGAAAAAATATTTTTTTTTTCAGAATTTTTTTTTCCGGCCAGATTCCAGCGTTGACCAAGCGGTTCTCCGGCGTTGACTTTTTTTTTTTGAAAACCTTTTTTTTTTCAGGAATTGTTTTCCGGCCGTTCGACCGCCGTTGACCACCGGTCTCCGACGTTGACTTATTTATTTATTTATTTTGAAATTTTGTTTTTTTAGAAAAAATATTTTAATTAATATTACTGTCTTGGCTGCTAAATTACTGTCTCAGACAGTAATATTATTTTTCCAAACAATAATATTACTAATATTACTATCCCAAATAGTAATATTATTGCATGAGACAGTAATACTACGGTCGGAGACAGTAATATTATAGTCGAAGACAACAAAAATGCAGACCAACCGCCAAGACGATAAATTTAATTAATACTGTAATATTACTGTCTCAGACAGTTAAATTACTGTTGGAGACAGTAGTTTACCAGCCAAGACAATAATATTAAATAAATTTTCTTTTTTACGAAAAACAAATTTTCAAAAAAAAAAAAAGCAATTAACAATTAAATTACTGTCTCCGACAGTTAAATTACTGCTGAAGACAGTAATTAAACAGCCAAGACAGTAATATTAATTAAAATATTTTTTTAAGAAAAAAAAGGTCAATTAACAGCTAAATTGCTGTCTCCTATAATTCAATAACTGATGGAGACAGTAATTTAGCAACTAAGACAGTTATATTAATTAAAATATTTTTTTTAAGAAAAGACAAAATTATATATAAAAAAAATCCCGACGATCAATGGCCGTTGACCTACCGAATAAAACAATTCAGAAAAAAAAAGGTTTTCAAGAAAAAAAAAGTCAACTCCGGAGACCATTAGTCTCCGGTGGTGGCGGGTCAAAATTGGGGTCAAAATTAAAATGTGGGTTAAAATGGGCAAAATTGAGGTGTAAATCATGAAATTGGATTTGAATTGAGTTTCAGTGAATTGGGGGTAATTTTGGTATATATAAAAGGATTTTCCTTATTATTATTATTATTATTATTATTATTATTATTATTATTATTATTATTATTATTATTATTATTATTATTATTGTTATTATGATTATTATTATTAGTACTAGTGGTAACTAGTGCTCGGGGATGAAATGTTACTTATTGTGGTTTGGGTCAGGGTCATAACCATCCGCTTGACCATCATCCTACGGAGTGAGGGTTCAAACTTCAAGGACGCGGCTAACTTTGCGGCGGCTTTTTGCTACATGTACTACTACAATGGTGAGTATCAAGTTTTGTTGTTGCCAGCTTGTCCTTAAACATGTTCCTTCTATTCCCTTTTGCTTACGACCCATGTAGTATTTTTACCCAGCAGTAATAAGGAAAATGACTTCTACTGGTGC